AAGTTTCAAAGATTGTTGGATTTTGTAGTTCCTACACTATCTCAAAATTCTTCATGAGAAAGCATATTATAGAAAGATATGAATTTTACGTGCTTAGGTGTGGTCTCGTATACAGGAACCGTTTAACTTACAACAAATGAACTACTGACTAGTATTTCGATTCACCCGTATACACAGCGATTGACCTCATATTGTAGGAATGAGATATTAACAGTAATTGATTTCTGTGTGATATATTTGATACTGAAACTCTTAATACTTTCTACAATGGCTTCTTATCTCCCTAAAAATCTCCCACACTTCAGCTCCAAACGGAAAAACAAAATCCAGGAAGAAGTATGAAAAGAACCCTATATCCAAGATTAATTCAGGAACAGAAAACAATAACATATTTGTTGTTACCTGTGGTTCTGATTTCCCAAAGTATTTTGGAAATATACTGAGATTGACAACAAAAATTTTAGTTATCCGATCAGAATAGTTAATGCACTTCATCGTTTTCTTGATTTCTCTAGGAAGATGCTTTCGAACATTGATTGAACGAAGTATTTTCAGCTTTTATTCATCTTCGGCGAACTCGTTCGCGGGGTTATTGAGCGCTTATAGCGTTAGGTATTGATTAATGTCACGCTTTTCTGTCAAATTCGTACTAATCAGATTCTATCTGTCTAGAATTTGTATTGTATCAGTCTAACTAACTCAACATTTCAGTGTAATTTGCTTTTATACCAATAATTATCAATGAGAATGTCTTCATCATTCTCAGAACCTAGAAAATGTTTAAAGAGCTTAAATCATAGGTTTCATTTTTCATTGAAATCGATTTAATCTGTCTAACATTGTTTAACCTAGAGTCGATTATACAGACTTCTAGTTGACTTGTTTTTTCTTCATCAACTTTGTTTTCATCTTCCCATCAACAGACCATTCACATCTCTAGATTAGGATATCAGAAAACCATTCAGCTAATAGTTTACAAGTGTTAGATGAATGTGCTTAAGAAAATGAAATTGTGAAATCTTGGAAACTGTTTTTTTTTAAGAATCAGTTTTATATATTTTTTCTATAAATCGTATAATAAACAGCGGACATTCTTATATTATCTTAATTGTTTACTTTCATTTGGCTCATTAATTTTTGTGACGTTTTTGCTGCAATTTTGTTCTCTGAGCTGGATGTTTTGGTCGTGAAGCTTTCATCGTTCTTCTGAACGACATTCATGAGCACAAAATTCTTTCGTGTCATTTTTAAATTATAAATACCTAATCATAAACGTGTTACTCAGTTTTATATCACATATGTCTTAGTTATGTACACATTAAGATCTAATAACTAGATTACTTCATTGTATAATATGTACATAAATCACGTGAGTCTAATGGGTCACCAAAAATATAACGTACTTAATTAATCAGACAGTCAGTCAACTACAACGTAGGACCAGGCACCTATATGCATCGGTCCAAGTTACCATACCTCATTAACACAACAAGATGGATACCGGATTCATAAAAGCAGTTAATTCAGTTGTGGTAATATATAAAAGAAAGATTGCAATAAGGATATAGTACAGAAAGAAAGAATTAGTTCATAGAAAGAAAGATATGAAGCGATTTTAATCTCTTAGTTTAAGGGAAGGCAGAGAGTACTTAATTAGTTGATATGGCGTTCTTAATTAGCTAGTTTAGAAGCAGCTAGGAATTTTACATTGGTAATTAATCGTTAGAGTATGTACACTCATTAAATGAGCAAATTCATCGTTGTTCACATTAGCAAAATCACTACAAGAAAAAGAAAGATTGTTTCATTGTATTTCAAATGTTTACTGGATTGTCATTTTTCAAAAATTTCTTATCTTGTATACACAGGTCATTGATCATGTCAGTGAATTATCCATCAAACATCATTATCATCATCATCAAGTTAATCCTATTAATTATTATTCTAATCCAACTAGCAGTTTTAAAACTGATTCTTTCATGATACCATGTCGTGCATTAGATATGTTTTTAAAAGGTTTAATGCGTTTAATTCTATTATGGTGGTGTTCAACTATTCATTCTTCATCAAATACTATCACTTATCATACTAATACATCAGAAAATTCAATCGATGAAACTACGGTGAATGGTATTTTGGAATCAAAAGAGATTAATGCTTTTCTGGTAAGGTTTTATATCATAAAATTTGTTAAATTATATTTACTGTTATGTCGGGAAAAGAAAGATTTCTTACTTGGACTCTATTAGGTGGTACTGTGTGATCTGGATGTGACGACATAAAAGCATTTGCATTATATATACATATATATAATCCGATTATAAATTAGTTCATCTGTATGGCAAGAAAGATTGGTGACCTATTTTTGAATTGACACATATCCTCCAATGAATAGCAAGCAAGACCTTAACTTCTGTTGTTCTTCGAAATCCTTCTGATTTAGTGGCCAATCAGAAGACGAGGATAGAAAGCAGATCAGTTCTCTATTGTATTCAATTCAACTATGATATAAAACCCGTACAATAATATACCTGACATATCTGGCTTCACAGTAACACAATTTAGGAATTACATTGTGTACTTAACTTTAGTTATAAACGATAAAAAACCCGGAGTAATGAGGGAAACGTTAATTGATCGTAAATCTTAAACAATAAGATATTCGACAACAATCTTTAGGTCAAACGAGAGCTTAGAAATAGGAAAATACAACAATACACACGTACACTTATTATACAATAACAATACAAATAATCGTCCTCCTTATGGTAACTCCAAAAGTCATACTTCTACACTGTTTGTCCCACTGTATCATCCATCATTCTATTTAGTAATCTATGTATTCCATACAATAAACATTATAGAATGTGGTCATAAAAACTGTAATTTACAAAATTCAAGGTACCTCAATCTTTAAAATGCTCTTCATTTTTGTGATGGATTTGCCTTACTTCCGTTCTAATTGCTTGAAATACCGATAGAAATGTTAGAATGTGGTTTCCCGCCAACTACCTTCGATCATCTAACATTAAAATGTAATTCATGCGTTTTTGAAACACTTACGTTGGTAACTACATTGTAATTTAATAGATAAAATCCGACTAATATTGAATAACTCGACAAATATAACATAAGTTACCACTTAGCAACCAATCAATAGTAAATCTGTTTAAGTTCGTAAACTCCCACTTCTTCAGATGTCTCGTCGTCATTTTATGTCTGCCTAATTGTAGTCTTTGGATGATCACTGTGCAAAATGCAATTCTTTAGAGGCTATATCTATTAACTTAAATGAACGATCCCGTGGGGAGGGGTAATTGATTGAATGTCACGTACCCAGACAGTCTCTGATAAATGTTTAAGCGAACTGTCATAATATAGCAGTTTTACATCAACATCAAACAAATATAATCGATTAGTGTCTGAAAATAAGATAAAGTGTGATGATCAACGTTACTCAACTAACTGGGTTTTTAATTCAATCACGACGATCTCGGGTGCTGGTAAGAAATATTAGGGCGGATGTCACTTTCTGATCGCTCGCACTGTGGAAGGATATTTCTTATTGAGAGACCTGAAAACGAAATTGAATTAGTAGTTCTCTCAGTGAACTGGGAGCGTGACTGCAGAAATAAAGCGACAACTACTTGAGGTCGGTTGCGCACTACCTTTTTATGGTAAGTTTTTGATGTGTTAGCTCCATACTTCAAAAAGCCTAACCGCGGTAGACTGGAATCCATGAGGTAAAATGAGGTGTGACAGTTTTCAGGTCGATTTTTTTTAACCCCTTCCTTCCGTTATGAGAAAAAAAGCGTTGTTGCAGTTGCTGGTTGTCCGAGGTAAACACCCTACTACTGTCACACCTCTCTTTAGCCAGCAGTACGAATTTGCTCTCGGACCTTAGGTTGCTGCTTTTAGTCTTATTTATTTATTTATTTGGACACATGAATATTGGTACAAGAGAGCGCCAATATATATGCGCTTTTAGTCTTACATTTCTTCAACTGACCTGCCTGGCTTGATAGAAGCTAAAGGAGCAGCCAGTATAGCTCGGTTGAGTCATCATAATAGGCAAACCAGACCATCACGTCAAAGTAGCAGCTACGGTCGGTTGTTAAACTAGGCCATGATTTGTTGCTGACGTTCAGTTTTTGTATTCATTGGACGGACTATGTGTGGTGATTTATTTGTGTCTAGGTTTCAACTGATAAATTTCGTATCCAAACTTCTAGGTTTCAAGTTTCCTTGAACATATTGGTCGGTATTCTATTTTTTGACGATAATTTGTAAACTTTGGACACTGATGATAAATTTATTACCATTCAACCAGTGATTAGTTTATTCTTAATTTTAATATTAATACTTTATCCCTTTTGTCTATAGTAATATATTTTGAAGGATATTTCATATGGGATCTTCACTACTAGTTTTTAGGGCTTTGGCGAATGCAGGAATTTTATATCCACTCTTTCTTATTGACATAAGTTCATTAAGTAACTTTTCTTCACCACCTTAAGCTTTCTCATTCACTTCGGCATCGGACAATTTGCCTTGACGCGTGAACGCGATGAAATGCGATTAACAAGGTCAATAGCAAAAGAGATTGAAGTAATCTAGTGACTATGATAATAAGAAAGACTAAACATTAGGACTATAGTTAAAAAAGATAGAATTGAAAATTTCGTATAGAGGAATTCAGGTTCGTGAGGATAATAAAAAGTGAACATATCTTCGCCATTGTAAATGGTTCTGAGCTATATATTGTGTCGAGTCTCCAACCACAGTTTTGTTGTTGACTCCAACCAAGTAATATATGTGTACTAGTTAGGCTTAGACCAACTGTTAACTGATCTCATTATTTTGGTTTAACTACCCTTCACTTCTACACCGGCTAATCTCTGTATGTTTGATACGTGAGTTACCAACTTATTAGTTGATTTCCAGATTATTAGAATTTTCAAAACTTAAGCCGCCAGTAAAATTATATAATGGAAATTATTGAAAAGACTTTCACAGCGTATCTATATAGTTAAGAGTAGTCTTTAAAATATTAACAAAGGTAACAAATTTTTAACTTGATCAGTCAGACCATCAGTCAGTCTTGAGTACTGTTAGAAATATGAGGGCGGTTATCAATTCCCGGTTGTTCACACCGTGGAACGGCTCTTCTGGAGGTACCTGAAAAAGAAATTGGATTAAGGGTGGTCTTATTGACCTTAAAGCATGACCGCAGTGCCCAAGGCATAATTACTTGAGACCGGTAACACATGACCTATTTGTGAGTGATTTTCGTGTTAGCTCTGTTACTTGTTGAAACTTAACCACTGGAGACGAATATCTGTTGGGTAAGGCGAGATGTGCATATAGGGTCGACCTTTTTTAACCCAACCCCTCCTTGTGGGAACGCAGAATCACTGCTATTCTTAGTTGTTTGAAGGGAACACCTTATTGTCGTCACACCTGTGTACAGTCAGCTGCACGGCTTCGTCCTCGGACCTTGGATTTGTTGCTTTTAGTCTTACCGTTCTTCAACCGACCTGTCTGTCATAGTACGATCTTGAGTAACGATTGTTCTAGCCAGTATAGTTCTACTGGTTCATCACGATAGGTAAGCCCGACCACCACGTCAAGGTAGCAACAGACCATAAAAAAGCCTCATATGTTGTTTTTTTCAAATTAGGCAGTTTGGAAAATACATTGATGAACCTATTAAAAATTTAGTACATCCCGATCATTGTCTTAGCTTTTTCCACAATTATTTCTATAAATTGTCTCCTAACAGTTTTGATAACATTGTTCTTGTTCTTTTCAACATTTTGTTCATTTGTTGGTTTTTTCAGGTTGATCATCTACATATTGCTTTATCATTTAACAGTACTTCATTATATTCAAAAATCTTATCTAATACTCGTATAGATCTATCAAAACGTTTTATTGGTTGTCTATTGAATAGGAAATTATTTCTTGACAGCACTTTAGGTGCTAATATATTTGCCAATTTATCCCAAATACAACCAGATCATGGTACACAACTAATTTATCTTCTTTTGGGTTCTATGAATGATCCATTATTGAAACATTCTATTGGTTTTGATTCTATTGATAATTCGTTGTTATCTCAAATTATTGATTTTATCTGTCCATATGGTGGACTCAAAAAGATTAGCTTAACGTTAGTTTAATCATAATTGAATGTTATTTTATTTGATTGACGTTGTGATTTAATCATTCATTTAATTGTTTTTAACAATAACTAAGACATTAATTAAGTTTTTTTATTGACATCATGAACCGATTGATGTTGGACCGCCATTTAAAACCTTGAAGCACTGGATGACCGTTTCGTCCTATTGTGGGACTCCTTATTAGTGCGCATCCACGATCCCGCTCGCGGGATTCGATTACAGGGCCTTTGGTCTCGTACACGAACGCTCAACCTACTAGACCACTAAGTTGGAATCCAACGGTGTTAATGTCTAACCTCCCACAATAGGAAGAAACAACCGTTCAGTGCTTCTAGGTTTTCAGTGGTGGTCTAACATCAATCGGTTTATGATGTCAATCAATAACTTAATGATCTCCACAACCTCATACTGATAAGTTTTTTTGCTGGAACCAGTAAAAATTCTACCACAATGCCGCAGTATTGTAGACAAAACATCTGTCTACTTATCACTGAATTAGTATACTCTTCAACAGTTCTACCTGTTTGATTCGATAAAACATTTTCTTTTGAGGTAAAAGCGTATGGATGTGCTACTAGTATTCAATCATGAATATCTTCGATGGGTTACATGTGTATATATGTTAGTTGTAGGGTCCTAGGTAAAGAATACAAATCATTCGACAAAACTTCATCAGATGTTTATCGACTGAGGTGGTTGAGAGATGTGTACTACATATCTCGAAAACTCACTGCAGCCTTCATGTCCGTCCTGAGTAAAACGAAAAGTGTCATGCCCACAACTTTGTCAAAAAGTGTTCAGAAAGTCGACAAAACTACACAAAATTATCTCCATGAAAACAAATGATTCTCTTATATGAGAAATTACCAAAAAATCATCATAAGGATTTTAAAAAACTTTTAAAATTCAAAGTTGCTCACAAGTTAACAGAAAGTTTTACGTTTTGTGATGACCAAAACACAGCAGCGAAAAAAGACAAATGCACTATCATGCTCCAAGTGCGATAAATACTACCTTGAACAAAGTGGATCTCTTCTCCATCTACCTATACATATCTATCAACTAACGGTATAACTATATATCACACGTATGTCGATGTCTACAAAAACGAATTGGATTTAGAAAGCTTCAAAGTTATAAATCGAGAAAATTCAAACGATTACAGAGAATTTCTGAAAGCATAGAACTCAGGTCAACTTGTAATCACTAAGCTTATAAACGTTTGCCAAATAAACCAACCTATAAGAAAATGATGAACCAATCACCTGATCAATAGTCAACAGAAAAAACTGGGAGAGAAGTAAACAAAAAAAACTAATCAAACATCGGAGAGCAACCACTCAAAACAGGTTGGTTTGGCGCTTATGAATTAATTATACAGCTCATATTTACATGAAGTAAACGCTGATTATGTTGTCGCGAATGACAAAATAAGAGTTTAAACGTAATCACCCAACTCAAAGAAGACACAACTAAAAGCAACCATCCATCTGGACTACAAATCTTCTCAGGTCTTAGTACAAAAAAAATAATAAATCAGCTCATTAGTTATCCTTCATTTCTGATAAGTCTTGCGAACTGAACGCTATATTCGTCTCCTAAGCTATTCTGTAACCCCCAAGCTAGAACTACACAGCGATCTGAATACAAGAGAGAAGACTCAAAGTATGCGAGAAGTAGTTTGCTCCAAGGCTCATTTTAATACAGAAAATATAGGGTTTTTATAATATTTTAAATGTCCTTGGGTTGCTAGAAGATTCTGGAATGCTACTAAACATAGTAGCAGTGTAGCAGCCAACCAATCAGAGCCTCTGCATGTAACGTTTCGCTTCCTTGATATTTTTGGCTAAGACTTCAAATGAACGCTGATTGGATGAAACGCTTCTTAGTGTTTCCTGATGCTTGCTTATCTTTTGCAAGCAATTTTCTGGATCACCCCAACAATTTTCAACACTTTAATTCTAATATTGATTTTTAGCAATTTCAGTGTGTTTTAATCGATTGCCTGAAAAGTGTTCTTTTGTTTTTTTGTTTTTCTACATTTTTTTTTATTTTCTAGGCAATTCATTCAAGGTTTCATTAATTTAGCTTTATCAATCCAAACCGATATAACAGTTTTTATAAATCAACCACATTTAAATTCAACTTTTCTAAGTCAATTAGAAAATTATCTTGTATCACATGGTGTAAAACAACGTAAAGCTAAACATGAATTACATTTGTTATGCCCTCCATTACTACCGCCGTCGTTAACATTAACAACGTCAAAAGGAGTGGAATGTTATCAAAATAATCAAACTACTGATTCATCTGTTAGTAGTAATAGTACTAATAGTTGTGATAACATAGTATTACCTATTCAGAGTATTAATAACAATCAACCGTTGATTTCAGTAAATTCTTTCGAGGTAACACCATCGAAATCATCAACATTTACTACTACTAATACACAAAGTACACGATATGATACAACACTTAGTGCTATGCAAGGTATGTTTTGTTTTGTTGTTGTTATTGATTATTAATGCATATGTCTGTGTATGTGCATGTTTAATGATGAAATTTTCTAACGTTGAATAAGATATAATATACTTCAGAAACACTTCAAATGTCAAGAATTAATTATATTATCCACCTGCTCAAATTAAAATGATATTTGGTAGATCTTTAATTCACTCATTAGGTACTTGAGATATGTGTTACGTATGCCCAACCACCGACGAGTTCGATGCGCAGTGTTGTTTAGTGTATTACTAGTTTGGAAGAAAGCTAATAATGACCAAATGAAGATATAGCACCAGTTCATGGAAACATTAACATTGGACTAAACTGTGTTAACAGATGATTATTGTAACCCAATGGTTAGGGACCTTGAATGATGTGGCTTAAAATTGTTTGAAATAGGGGAAGTGCATCCATTCTTCCCCCTTCCAGATTCCAATTTTCTAAATTTCTCATAGTCTTTTCTTAAATAATTTATCTTTCATTGAGCTATACGTTTGATGCTTAATCCTTCCTATTATCACTGTTAGTGTTACTGCCTTTATCACTCTGGAAATTCGTCTTAAAAATTTCATCTCACTTTAGTGGCCCATGGATCTGACTCCAATTAGATCGTATAAATGTTTGCTATTGCCTTTTATCGTATATCACCGTCGACTTAAATCGCGTTATCCAATAACGGAATTAAATAAGTCGAATAACGAGAATTGACTTGAGAATACATATATTTCGTACATGAAGCGAATGAAGCATAGCAAAGCAAAAGTGACACGTATGGAAGATGGCTGGGAAGCCAACTCCATTTCAAGCCGGGCATTACTCAATATTTATAGGCAGACAAAATAAAGCTACAGACATGTGATGAATCATGGGACATGAAGTGTACACACATATACGCTCATATAAAAAGCAGTCTAGATTGATAAGCGAATAATTAACAAGGTCAAAGTATGTCTCGAGTAGAATGAATGGAATGGGATGTCCGAAAGCTAGAATAAGGTATATAGTCTTAACATAGTAACTGATACTACATTACTATACTAATAGGATATAGAAACTTGAACCAATGTATACACATATCGGATTCTACATTGTATTTGACTGACTGACTGAATTGTGTACTGTTATCTCTATTCAATGATTAGTGGTAATTAGCAGGAAATTATCATGTATTTCTTTCTAGCTAATTTAACTGATAAATTACTAATTGATTGGTCAAAATTTTCCTCTTGTCCAGGTACGGTTTTATTTATTCGGTTTATAATTCATAATTAATTGGTTGTTCATATTTAAGTTAAATGTTGACAGATGATTGAAGTAGAGACGAAACTCTTAACTGATACGATTAGAACTATGACACTTCTGGCACCCAAAATAAGCGAGCCTACATTATGTTACCATTTTAGAGGTGACAAAAATAGTCTCATGTTGAAACGGAGACTTAAATTAACCATCAACCGGACATTTTATGTAGCCCAACTTGTCATTATTGAAAAAAAGGTCTATGTTTCACCAAAAGCCCAAACAGCACGTAAGTGATTGTGTCACATCCCATTGTGTCTATCAGTTCACATGTATGTGTGGAAACACGTACATAGGGAGGAGCAATCGTGGTTTACAATTAAGGGTGGATGAACACATAATAAAATAGCTGCAGAAACAAATGGATTCCAATGGTCAAATACGTTCACAGGATAGACAGACATCATCCTCCATTGCGAAACGTTTGATTGAGACTGGTAATAAGGTTGACATCAAGTCAGAATTTGTAGTGATATACAAAAACCTTTAAGGACGTATACTAAGGTTTATTAAAGCCTTAGCTATACGGAAACTGAAACCCACCTAATGCGTCAAAAACAATTGGTCTTTACACTTAACCTACCCCGGTAATTCTGATTTATTATCCAGAGTGATTATCACATTGTTTTTGAGTACCTAATTATTATTTTCCTTTGTTACGACTTACCTTTAACCTGTCTAATTGACTTTTTAATTTTCATATAAAAATGTCTTAACAAGTATATGTATGTGATCAGATTGTTCAAAATGTATTGCTCAAATATATCACATAATTCTAATAAACTTCATCTTATTGCATTATCGAGATTATACTTGTGTCAAGTCCTCTATTACAGTCACTTAACAATGATCATATTGTAGTTACTTGGTTTCGAGATAATTCCTTAGGGTCCGTTTATCAAACACCGTGATAATCGTTATTAAACGAATCCCAACAGTGTATGAATTTAGAAGGCAATACGAAGCGCCAACTACAGTTTATTATTGGCTAGCGCAGATAAACAAGCTACAAACACATCAAGCAATTTTGGACAGAAAGGCTAATGCTCGCGAGCAAACGGATTCAGAATCAAATAGGATCAAAGACAAACAATTAATAAGATTCAATCTTATATATATATATATATATATATATATATATGATTCATCGAGCGATATTTGAGCAATTAACATTTGAAGTAGAATGAGGATTATGCACGTAGACTGCTGCTACACTGGTCGTCTTCTGCATTTGTTGTTGCTTGTGCGATAGAAGAACCAGATGATCTACGAGGTCATCCAGCTGTATCCTAGATGTCCACTGTATCCCATGTTTCCCTTCGGATGTGGACATCTTCATGATCCAATCGATCACCGGGAGAAAGAAAGGGTGAGAGTAAGTAACCTTACCTGACACTGGTCTTTACTTCGAACGAGTCAGTGAGCTATCCTCTATATTCAAATAACACTGTCTGTTAATTAAGTTAATTGAATGGTTTGACAAAATTAATCGTAATCCAAATTTAATTGTATAAGAGATGCTATAATATAACTCTACGTATTAATTTAATTCTTCTTTTGATTCTTTCGTTCTCTATTCAATAAATAAATTTAGCCATTAGTGCTGGTACCACTCCATTTATTCGTCTTTCTAAAGAAACATGTCAATCAATTGATCAAATTCATGATAAAACAACATTTTGGTTCAATGATGAAAATACTATTATTCCAGAAAATTTAAAAACTCGTTTAAATCGTATGCTTGTAAATACTACTGACAAATCTACTAATATTGGTCGTTTAGGTGAATTATATATTTATCATACATTCATTGATTATATTCATCGTATACAAATTCATCATAATAATTTTGATGAAATGACTAGTTGTGAATTTCCTACTGGGCATCCTTTACTTGGTATTGGACGATTAATTCGATGTAATTGGTGTAATTCCGATGTGGAATCAATGAAACCATATGATCTTGAGGTGGATGTTCAAGGTAATTGGAATCATATATTAATTCTTTCTTATTTCATCGGTTATTGTCTATTGTTGTTGTTTTTTTCTTTCTGTTTTAAAAATAATGATATCATTAGCTAAGTAAGAAAACCACTGAGAACGTAGAGGAGAATCCAGCAATCCTGTAGTCTCTAACGATTGATTTTAGGAAGTAATTTAAAGAGTTCTGGTGCGAAACCATTGTCAGTAGAATTCACTCATGTACAGTGTGATCCAGTTACCCACTAACGTCATTCTATTGTGTGCTGTGTCATATCGCTAATTCAAATGATGTTAGCAATGCAAACTATTATGCCAACTCAGAGCTTCAAAAGTTAAACACTAACTGTGGAACCCGAATATTTGTGTTGTAGATGTTCATTGTTGTTAAGTTTACTAGTTTTTTTTTATTAAAAAAAAACAGTTATCCAGTCCTTCTTTGTCTTTAATGGTTGTCTAACTAAATTCATCATGTAATGTAAACTGGAATCTTGTCAGTTTGTGATCATCACTGCATTTCGATCCAATGATTTAGGATATTGTGTTCAGCTTAAAACCTGTCTCGTTTGGGTTTCATCTCGTGATTTAAAGCGGTTGGTGTACAACCCAGACAGAAGATTGAACGAAGTAGCTATCTCTGAGTGCACATGGGCTCCAGTATCCTGCGGGAACAAATGGCTTATGAACCAATTGTTGGCCACCGGCCACCATGGGACTGCATCGCCTCACGATGCTCCACTGCCTTGTGGATCAGACCTTTAGGTCAAAGGCTCGCGATGTGGCCCCCTAAGGAAACCACCTGCTTCGGTCTGGGCACCCTGGCAGTATCACAACCCACACACAAATATGGTGTAGCGCATATATATTTGGTACCCTCTTGTACCAATATTTATGTGTTGAAATAAATAATGTCCTCTCTTTAGTTTCTCAGTGGTTATTCATCTAATGTCAGTTCATAATAACAATCATTTTGGTAACTACTGTTACGACATTTTAAAAAGTTTTGTAATTTTTTAAGTAATTAATATTGAAGTATTTGAAGATGGCTTACACTTCGTTTCCATATTAAATCAATTACTTGAAAGTGTAGAAAAGTAACCAGATATTACCCACTTTTGTATAACAATTTGACTGAATAACGCCGAATGTCATATACTGGAGATAAATGTGTCTTTATTCATCTAATTTTTATACGCCATTCTGGCGACTTAATTGTGTTTAGACTATACTACTTAATGATATGTAACTAGTTGTTTGTATGCTGTTTTCATAGTTGAATGTGATGCGAACAAGTGGGACAAATTAATTGAAAACTTAAAGGATGAAATAACTAACAATATTGTTCGAATTATTCGTAGACCTTCACAACAACAAGATAGTACATCATCTGAAACATCAGGTTTGTTATCTGTTGGTCCTATATTCATTGAAGTTAAATCAACAATGGATTCGACTAATCTACATAGTAATAATAGTGAAACAAATTTAACTTCTGGAACTGATCTTTTTGAATTTTCATTACCGGAAATTTTGTGTGCTTCACAACAAGGTTGGCGTTATCATTTACTACGTGTAATATGGAAGAATGATTACAGTCAAGATTTCTGCCAAATGCGTATCGCTTCTGCCCCGAAAGTTATTCACATTCCAGATTTGTCAAATGTACTCAGACAGAAATCAGTGAATATACGTTTATGCTTAGCTTTGTTACGAAGTGAATGGATAAAATGAATCCCTTGTAAATTCTCTTCAGTCGTACCCTTTCTAACCTAATCCATTGTAATTAGTCTTGGTTTGCTTTTCATCGAGTCTTGTTGGTGGATAAAAATAAACAGATAAAATATTTTTCCAGTAGAATGGACTTTTGTTACACCTTTAAGCCTGGTTGAAAAAGCGAATCAATAATACTGAGCTTTGTGTTCAAGATGAATAATAGTCTAATAATGAGACTCTACAAGTTCAACATCGAGAATTGAGACTTATAAAGTTGGTCGTCAAAATAGCTTGTCTAAACTTCATCACTTCAACATATTGTAATGAAGGTATCTTCGAAATAGCTAACGATGTATGTAGAACACTAACTTGGTTTCACACTGTCCTGTAAAATCTATTCTAAAGACGACTTTTTTAAGTAGTTGAGATGCAATCACTGAAGTTCGCCGGTCATCTGTCTCCTAAACTCTAATTTGCCAATGTCTCATGGGTATAGCTTGTATGAAATGAATTGGGGGAGGAAAACTAGTAGTGGATATAAAATATACCGATTACTAGCGGACTTACTAGTAGGGTGGGGTAAATAGTTCTGAAATGTCTCGCATAGTCAGTTATATTTTCCAATAAGTAGCCGAAGTTGGAAATTTATATTGTCAACGAAAGTATGTGTGTCTCAGCAGTGATATGTTAGATGGACACATACCATCCTATTTTAATTGGGGTTCTTCGACATCAAGATATACACTGCAAGCACATGTGTTTGGATCAATGAGCGGAGATATTATTCTTTTTTCATGTCTAGTCACCTGAGAGTTTGGATGAGCCATGGGAGCGTATTCTTTTTCGTAAACGACGTACTTCCCATGTATGAATGGTGATTAGTGTGTGTACAGCGTATTGTCAACTGGTCAAATAAGTTGGGATGATTAGTTCCAGTATCGTCAGTTGATTATTGTTCTCCGAAGGGTTGCATAATCCACATTTTAGATGCAGCACTTCACCAAAAGAAAGTTTTATGATTTTACAAATGAGTAAATTTCCCTCAATAGGTCAAGAAGGATTATTATGACAAAATGCCACCATAATTTACGGACACAGAGTCGGGTAAAATAGTCAGGCCTCGGGATTGACAGAAAAATGCCTTGAAACCATATTTAGCTGTATGAATCTCAAGATTCATACTGTGACACCCTGTGGTTCGAATTATCATCTACTATTTGAAAAATTTGTAGTTCAACAAACCAAGTTTCTCTTCACTTTTCCCAGCTCTACCTCTATTACTAACAGGGACTATTCTCTACAACAAGCCTAGGGGGATACTTATTTATCATTGAGAAATATGAATTTGTTATAAAGAGATCATTATGTTCCATAATCCTACCCACTTTAGACAGATTAAACCTCTCCCCTTGACGAGTATCACTAGGCTCATGATAGAGGAATTCTAGAAAAATATTTTTAAATATACAGCTCTTATTTTCAGCGATGTAATCCTGGAGCTAGATTGTTTACCAAGAATTTTACATCACGCGCCAAATCTGGTTAACTTGCAGCGACAAGTGTGAGGAATCACCATTCTCTTCTCTGACAGCTGATCAAACCAAAGATAAATGAAGTAGAAAATTGACCCAATTAATGAAGTTGAAGCTCTGCAAGAATTGTAGTTTGTTCGTTCCTGCTAAAGTTAAATTTTCTGCAACTGCATTTCCGGTTTTGCCTTTTGTTCCTCTTCATTCCAGGTTGGTCATTGCATACGCATACCATGTGTAGAGCGAAGGTTATGCAAGCATGACAGACAAAAGTAATGATGCTACTTATTACTGTCGTTCGATAATATATGAAAAAAATATCGTTGTGTGAGTGGCGTCGTGGCTTGTGATTATTGGCAATAAAAATTTATATTGTAAACCCGTTTGTTTCTTTGACCTTAACAATTGGAGAAGAAGTTCGCAGAATGGTATCCCGAAGCTAAGAGTTAGTCATCTGCGTATCAGCCTCAAAACCTCTTAGTTGTGCTACTAAACCCTTCAATAGTAACTGTAATTGTTTAGAAAATATACTGACTTTGATAATGGTATAAAATTTCCCAGTGATATGTTATTGGCAGAGTATTCATCGTCATTAGTTTATGTACTCCTTAGGTCGATTACGTAGTAGTGTCTAATTTTATGATATACACTGTCTTACAGTCAAAAATCGGCTTCACCTCAAATGAAGCACTTCTCTTCGATTGGTACCTAATTTATAGTTCTGACATGAACTTTCACAATCAGCCAAATAGAACCTTCCTAATGACCGTCATGGTCCTTTCATCGCTCTTATAGGTCAAGACATTAAGGGACACTCGAGTACCTGTATCATATGTTCCTATCGTAGATTGTTCCGCTAATTTGGTAATGAAATTGTATAGTTTTATTTGGAATATTTAATGTTTTTTCCACTTTCGTTACTGTACACGAATATTTTTTCAGACATATCTCTCATGTATGCCGGCACTACAGAGCAGCTACGAATCTGGATTGTGAGCTGAACGAAATGGCGGGGTGATTAGTATATTAGCCTTGTTTGTCTTGCGCTGTTTCAGCAGTGATGTGCTTGATAGTTTATGATTCTGGCCAGCATGTGTAATGGTTCATTTACGTTGAGAAGTAAGAGTATCCATTTAAATTTGCCAACGATCCTACTGAATCAAGATGAACGTGGTTAAAAACAAGTGTCAGGAGTTGCGATGCAGCCCAAAGGACATTTACGAAAAATATCAGGAAGTCAACCATGATAATAGTATGAACACGGGCAGACTTTGGATCAGAAACTGAAAGCAGACATTAAAAGAATGAATAACAACTGGAAAGAATTTCCTAAGACAGAGTAGGATGGAGAGTGCTGGGAGGAGGTTTATGCTCATCCACGAGGAGTAACAGGCTTAATTAAATAGGTAAGGATTGTAGGCACTTACATTAAGAAGAAAAAACTCAAACAGGTAAGATGTTAGAGGTTCTACCTCATTTTACAGTCAATCAAATGGATACTAGACCTTGTCTGCATAACTTATTGGTAATCACACCGACATAGAATCGATGAAACAAACCACTTTCTAAGGGAGGATCGTTAGTGAAGCTTTCGAACTGAATTATAGTTTCAATGTAGGGCAGGCTTACTGGAAGTCTGCGGCCATTGTAAATAAACCCACTATTGTCAACACTCAGTGACAGATTCCATTCGTGTATATCTTATGTTTTCTTGGATTATCGCTGATATATTTTTTTGGTAATAGTTTAATACGGTTTGTTTAGTTACGAGGAGATTTCCTCGACTTCTTTATTACTAAACCGTGACAGCACTTAGTAATACTACCAATTCGTATGATCTATTACTCATTTATAACGTGAAAATACTGACATTCATGTGTATTTCGGACAGATGGTTAACGGAAGTTCATCGAACGTGAGTGAGTGCATGAAAAGTAAATTTGACGGTAATGTTTTCAGTTTGCTTATACTAATGATTTGCACGAATGACTGTGTTATAAAATCTGGAACTGGAGTACTTACATATGTGTCAGAAGGTAAGTTTTCTCTACCTTTTCCTACGTGTTTGATTCGCGGTTTTGTGGTTGTAGAATATAACTATTGCAATAGGTTGATGTCTTTTTATAACATGAGCAAGTTCAAGGGAGTAGATCCCTTGGAAACCCTTCAAATAAGTTATACAAGACAAGACATCTACAAGTACATCGTCTGTTTCGGAAGTATATTGTTTGTCTGAAGTAAACTGTGAGATGATTTATGAAGCGAGTGAATTCTCGGCTTTCCATAGTATTGAAAGTGTGGTATGGCACAATACATGACTAGGAGTTCTTTGAACCTAGAGTCATATCTGAATTCAGTGTCGTAGAATCGTATCGACGAGGACGCAAATGTCTTGGGTTGGAATCTCCTGTGCGGCATCATGGATGATCGCTGCTGAGGAGTCCCATACTAGGACGAGACGGCCTTCCATTGGTTCTAGGTTTTCAATAGTGCTCCAACATTCATCGACTCACCAATTCACTCCAAAACTTAATAATTTTCAGTCACATACTGAAAGAAACTCGAAATGATTCCTTCACAAAACTTATGTACTAATAAGCTGTGTGTGGCTAACAATTTTAAAAGTTATGGGGTGTTTTCATGGTCGTTGGGAGACGAGGTCCAGATATTGAGGATGATATTCTCTTTACGTATTTTCAATCAGGGCATTTTCAAGTTGAGCGTGCACAAAACTGGTGCCTCTGGATATATACCTTTGGGCGTTTCGCGCAGCACTTCTTATACTGCGAAAGTTCGTGGAATCCGAAAGGAGTGATGGAAGAATTCGAAGGATACCATCCATAGCCATAAGGATTTAGTTGTTTTTCTTAATTACGTTAGGCGTTGAAAAGACAGTCATATCCATCAGTGCAGTTGTCAGGTTGCGGTCTTGAGTGCTTTTTATGCAAATTCACTTATAACCAGTTGGATATCATTAAAGGTACTATAAAGGAAGGAGATGCTCATGGACTTTTTGATCACGGGATTACTGCAAAATCTGTTATATGTGTGAACTTCATATTAACCAATCTAAGCCTTCCAGAAGCTAATCGTTGAGCTGTTGAGAATAGAGGTGGTCCTGTAAATGCTGGCTTAACACATTTTTTTCTGTTTGGATTTGTATGATCCACAGTATTTATCGTTTGAAAATCTGAGTCGTTACGTTTTTGACTTTAACAAAGGATAACCTGTAGCCAAGAAATCCACAAAGCTTAGATAAAGAAGTTATTTACAATATGCGTTGTCAAGTTTCATTCGCCAATGACCTCTCCCATACATAGCGACGTTTTCGTTGCCGATTTACGTCATAATCCGAAGTTGATGTATAATTCGTTTAATGTTGGATTTACACTTTCAAGTATAGCCCCTCTTAAGTTTTTGTAATGTTCTAAGACATCAGTGGTAAACGTACTAGTTTTGACGTACTTGTTGAACTAACGTGGTTGGCCCATCAAAACTGTGAGTTTTCGAACACATGGGTCGGTCACACCAAATGTGGTCCGTTGCGGATGACTGGCCGAGAGCCTTCCGCCATATACATACATTTACTAAGCGTTTTGAGACCAGCGTCAA